GGAGCCCAAACAACACCCAACAAAGAAAGATGTTGTTCGAGTGACGTCGAAAATTTATGATCCTATGGGAATTATTACGCCACTGACTGTAAAACTGAAACTGTTTTGTCAGAGCTTATTTAAGAAAGACATTGGATGGGATGAACCGTTAGATGAAGAGTCATCCAATACTTGGAAATTGTTACAACAGGAATTAAGAGAAGCGACGCCAATTAAAATACCACGGTGTTATTTCAACGGAGTTATATCTGAAGATATCACCACTAGTTTGGAAGGATTCTGTGATTCATCAGTGAAGGCGTATGCGGCCGTTGTGTATTTAAGGCTAGAAACAAGAGATGGCGTCCAATTGAACATCGTAGCTTCAAAAACTAGAGTAGCACCTTTGACGAAGCAATCTATACCGAGACTTGAACTGCTTTCAGCACTAATATTGGCAAGATTAATAACGCATGTAAAGGAAGCATTGAAAGGATATATCGATATTTCATCCATACGTTGTTGGTCGGATTCGGAAGTTGCGCTCTACTGGATATGTGGCGAAACTCGTGAGTGGAAACAGTTTGTACAAAATAGAGTCCTAGAAATAAGAAGTCTTGTTCCACCAGAACTGTGGAATCACTGTGCTAGCAAGGATAACCCGGCTGACATTCCGTCGCGAGGAACATCCCCAGTAGAACTATCAAACAGTATGTGGTTTAGCGGACCAGAATGGCTGAAGATCTACGCCGATCCGAGTGAACAAACAAGTATGAATGAGAGTGAACCTCCAGAGGAAGTGATCAAGGAAATGAAATTAGAGAAGTCAAAGAAACCTTCAGAAACGTCATCCTTTAACACGACCTGTGAAGTAGGACATATTGGTGAAATTATCGATTGTAAGAGATTTAGTAGCTTAAACAAACTACAGAGAACTACAGCGATAGTGTTGAAATTTATCCAGATGTTGAAATCGAAGAGAGATCCGACCGTTAAAGCAAAGCCATTAACAGATTACATGCTACAAGCGGAGGAACTTTGGTTAAAAGATGTTCAATTTCAACTGATGTCGAAGGCGAAGACAAGAAAATGGGAGCGAGAATTCGGACTGTACCGTGATGAAAGAGGTATTTTGAGATGTGAAGGCAGACTCAAGAATGCAGAATTAACTACGACGCAGAAACACCCAGCAATCTTGGATGCGGAACATTACGTAACGTCACTAATAGTGAGAGATAGAGTAAAACACAATGGTGTAAAAGAAACCTTAACAGAGATTAGATCGGAATTTTGGATTGTTAGAGGTCGTCAATACGTGCGAAAACTGATACATGAATGTGCAGTATGTCGACGACAGGAAGGAATTGCTTACAAACCACCAGATCCACCAGCATTACCAGTATTTAGAATCACGAAAGATCACCCTTTCACGTACACAGGGGTGGACTTCGCTGGACCACTTTATGTGAAACAAGTGAAGGCAGTGGCTATGGAGAAGGTTTACATGGTTATATACACTTGTGCTGTGTCGCGAGCAGTACATTTGGATGTTGTGAGTGATATGACGGCAGAAGCCTTTATAAGAAGTTTTAGGAGATTCACAGCCCGCCGAGGAATACCACGAGAGGTGAAATCAGACAATGCAAAAACATTTAAAGCGGCTTCAAAACAATTAGCAGCCCTATTCGAGATTCCAGAAGTGAAGAAATACCTTTCAGATCAAAGAATTCGATGGACATTCAACCTTGAGAAGGTACAATGTTGGGGAGGGTTCTTCGAGAGACTAATTAAGAGTGTGAAGAGATGTTTATACAAGATTCTTAAAAATGCCAGAGTCACCAACGAAGAACTTTATACCGTGCTTACGGAGATAGAAGCAACACTAAACTCGAGACCGCTAACGTATGTGTCTACGGAAGACCTAGACGAACCAATTACACCTTCACATTTGATAAATGGAGCAAGAATAAACTCGTTGCCAGACGCAGTTAAGCCAGGAGAGGAATCGAGAATTGAAGAGATAACCAACAACAAAGTTGCAAGACGAGTATCGTACCTTAGAACTTTAAAGGAACACTTTTGGCTGAGATGGAAGAACGAGTATCTGCTTGAGTTACGCAATGCTCATCGACAGAAGACTACACGACAGAAAGGAAATTGTATTAAAGTTGGAGATGTTGTAGTTATTCACGAAGAGAACGTGCGTAGAGTAAAGTGGAAACTCGGTAGAATCGAGAAACTGATAGAAGGAAAGGACGGGGCTATTCGCGGAGCGGTAGTTAGGAAATTAACAGACAAAGGAGGAAAATGTACGGAAATTAGACGGCCAATTCAGAAATTATACCCGGTTGAGTTGTCGGAAGGCGATGAAGAAATTGTGACGGAAGGAGATAATACGGAGAACGCTTCAGAGAAAGACGATCAGAAGACGGAATTGAGAAGGAGACCAATACGGGAGGCAGCAAGAAAGGCACAAGCGAAGAGACAGGAACTCATTGAATCAGGAAGTTTGTAGACATTAACGTTGTTAACATTTGATTACTTTAGTTATGAAACTGTTAAGTTGACCATTGTAAGTCATAAGTCATGGTCAACGGGGGGAGTGTAGGATATTTATGAACATGCTTAGATAAAAGGGGATATATTTTAACGCGAATTGCATGACGGGACAGAACATGTGCGAGAGAAGGTGTGCGCGAATTGAGAGTTATTGAGAAACATATATTTTATACGTTGAGTTTTAGTTATTAAAGTTATCTATACAAACACTTTCCACCCAGCGTGAGTTGAGAAATAAATAGATTAAAGTATGAAAGTTAAACTTTATTCAAATCCTATTAAAGAGATATCAATTACATATATTCCGTAATAATAATATAGTTATCAATATAAACAAATACCAGTGTGTATATAAAGCGATACTCCATTCCAATATAAACTTACAAGTTGCACAATCCTGAATAATAATAACCCCATTGTCCCGCAACCATTCACCGTCACTTTAAACTATAAATAATGTAATATTTCCAACGTATTTTGTCCTTATATTTGTCCTGATTACATTTTAAACACATCAACAACTCGTGGTGTTTTCCGCTTAATTCACATCGTTCAAAATCCGATTTAGTTTCCAGTCCTACTAAACTGTAACGCAACGTTTCAATTTTCAACCGCAGAAAAATGTAATTTACGAAAGATATGTATTCAAACAGACCCGACCTAGCCCTGACGAATCGGTTGATCATTTCATTACACGTCTTCGACAGCTAGCGGATACATGTGAGTTTGCGAGTGTAGAAGATGAAATTCGAGATCATTTTGTAATCACTTGGCCGTCAAAGGTATTTCGTGCGAAATTACTTCGTGAGCCGACACTCACTCTCGAAAAGCTACAAGAACTAGCCCGGGCACAGGAAACCGCTAATCGTCATGCCAGTGTCATGGCCGACGAAGAAGATACCAAACTGAATCGACTTACAACCAATCGTTCTCGAAGTGGCGACCAGAACGAGTCATTTCAACAAGAAAGCAAAACAGCGAATATATCCGGAAAATATACTGGTAACTGTTTTAACTGTGGTAGCAACTATTTTCCAGGTCACAAACAAGTTTGCCCAGCACAAGGAAAATCATGTCGTTCGCGTGGAAAGCTCAACCATTTTGCCAAAGTTTGCCGCAGTTCCCCAATGCGAAAGCCAGAATTTCGTGCACAAAACAGGGAAAAATCGAATGAAATCGACAACTCTATTAAAGCAATCATAACAACGCCAAGAGAAACCGGAACCGGAAGTTCGGCGAATGACGACAGCGACGAATACACCTTCACCTTGACCCAAGGTCAATCCAAGTTCAGCCCAACGAAGGTAACCAAAACAAACAAGGGTGTTTTTGTGAGGGCGAAAATAAACGAAACGGATATAAGATTAGTTCTTGACTCTGGTGCAACAACAAATATTTTAGATTCTGCAAGTTTTGAACGTATTCAAAAGAACAATGCGAAACTCCAACTGGAACCTACGTCCATCAAAATATACCCATACAACTCTACAGTTCCTCTACCCACTACCAGCAAGTTTGAAGTTCAATTTTGTAATGGTACAAAAACTACATCTGCAACATTTCATGTTGTTGAAGGAAATTCTGGGTCATTAATTGTTGGGATATGAGACAGCAACAGAACTGGGACTTTTGCCTGTTAATGTCAACCAAACAACAACCATGCCTAGTTCTACATCAAGCAACACATCTGATCTGGTCGCAAAGTTTCAGCACCTATTTACTGGCATTGGTAAACTGAAAGATTATAAACAAAAGCTACATCTTGACCCTAGTATACAACCGGTTGCCCAAAAACCTCGGCGAGTACCATTTCACTTACGTAAGCAAGTATCTGCCCGAATTGAAGAATTGGAAGCACTCGATATCATAGAACGGGCATCAGGTCCAACATCGTGGGTATCGCCTGTGGTCGCAGCACCTAAACCCCACAACCCATCTGAAGTTAGAGTATGTGGTGATTATCGACAACCCAACCGAGCCATAATTCGAGAGCGGCACCCTATTCCCACCGTGGAAGAGCTCATGGAGGACATGACTGGTGCTTGTGTCTTTTCAAAATTAGATCTTCGCGCTGGCTACCATCAAATTGAATTGGAAGAAGAATCGAGATCTGTTACCACCTTTTGCACACATGAAGGCTTATATCGATATATCGTTCGTAACATAGCGGATGACCTCATAGTTTGGGGAAAATCCCAGGAAGAACATGATCGCAATCTTGAAGCTTTGTTCCAGCGCCTAGATGCCAAGGGCCTCACATTGAATGGTGATAAATGTGAATACAACCAACCAAGTTTATGGTTTTATGGTTACAGTTTGTCCAAAGATGGTCTATCTGCTGATCCCAAGAAAGTTGAGGCCATAGTCAAAACGACAACTACACAGAATGTTGCTCAGCTCCGAAGTTTCCTTGGTCTAGCTAACTACTGCGCTCGTTTTATCAAGGATTTTGCCACTCTTTCAGCACCTCTGAACGAACTGACCAAGAAGTCAACAAAATGGCAATGGACTGTCATCCACCAACAAGCTTTTGAGAAAATTACGACTGCAATTGCAGAGGATTGCAGCATGCCTTTTTAATCCTGCCAAAGAAACAACCCTGACTGTTGATGCAAGTCCTGTCGGTCTTGGGGCCATACTGTCTCAGATACAAGAGGATGGTACCATACGCAACATTTCATATGCAAGTCGCACCCTTACCCACACTGAACGCCGCTACTCGCAGACAGAAAAAGAAGCCCTTGCAGTGGTATGGGGCTGTGAACGCTTCCATTTGTATCTTGTAGGTAAAGAATTTACCCTCTACACTGACCATAAGCCACTTGAACTGATTTATAGCCCTAAATCCAAACCACCACCACGCATTGAGAGATGGCTTCTCCGAATGCAGCAGTACCTGTACCAAGTGCAATACCGACCAGGATCGTCAAACCCTGCTGATGTGTTATCCCGTCAACCAACAGAAACCTGTGAATGGTCTGCTAACACTACGGACAAGTATATCAACTTTATTGAGAGCCATGCTGTCCACAAATCAATGGCTCTAGAGGAGATTGCTGCGGAGACAAGTACTGATTCTGACGCTGCAGATTTTGATGCTTTTCTAAATCAAAATGGTGTTCGCCACAGGAAAATCACCCCTTACTGGCCGCAAGCTAATGCCGAAGCGGAGCGTTTCATGCGCACATTAGAAAAAGCTGCACGAGCCGCCCATATCGAAGAAAGAAGATGGCAAGATGAGTTAGATACTTTTCTTTTGAATTACAGGTCAACGCCGCATTGCACAACTGGTATCAGCCCGGCAAAGCTTCTATTCAATCGAAAAATTCGGAATAAACTGCCAAGTGTGGACCGGTTAGACCACATGCCCTCAGACATCGAAGACAACCATGAAAAAGCTGTCAACAACGACTCTAAGAGAAAGGAGAAGATGAAGAAATATGCGGACAAACGGAATCATGCAAAGAACATTAACCTTCAAATAGGAGATTATGTCTTAGTCCGACAGCAAAAGAAAAATAAGCTATCTACCCCATTTGGTAAAACGCCATACAGAGTAACAGAAATAAAAGGGACAATGATCACTGCGACTAGCGAGGATAGCGGCAACATTACCAGAAATGTTTCAGTGTTTAAACAAATCCCAAACCCAAACCCAAACCTTGAACCACAAGATCAAATTATCGAGGATTTTCATGGTGATATGCCTAAGACGGAATTGACGCGCAGATATCCAACCCGGAACAGAAAAAGTCCAGAATTTTATAATAGTTCACAGACATAGTATGAACCTATACAAACTAAGTTTTAGTTGTTGAGTTGTTAATTATGAATGTTTTATTCTAAAAGGAAAGGGGGATATAGTATTGTGACGTACAGGTCACATGATCTAGTCACGGGACAGTGAACACATGTACTGTTGTATCGAGCAAGGAAAGCGAGGACGGATCTAGGACATTCACTGATTCACATTAATCATTTAAATATATTATTTTATTACAAACTGACTTCATTATAGGTAGGATGTTGAAAATGTTTACTATTTAAACGGCCCACAAATAGTAAACAGAAAAGACCCGTATCCGTTTGTCTTTTACGTGTAGACCATGGTTCTCTGCGGAGAAACGGAATTGGAATTCGACCAACTGGAGTAGGGGAAGTGCTGCGAAGAATTATCGGTAAGACCATAACTTCATTCTCGAGGGAGGAGATTAAGGAAGCAGCGGGGCCATTACAAGTCTGCGCCGGATACAGTGTTGTGGCCGAGCAGCAATACATGCTATGATCCATGTTTTTGATAAAGAAGGGTCTGATGGAATTCATACCACTCAAAGATCAGGGTTTAGCCCTTAATAAGCAAGAATTTAGAGACTTGTTGCGAATGAGATACAATCTACCTCTGAATGATCTACCAAGCCATCGTGCGTGTGGAGATCGCTTCAACATCAATGATGCCCTCACATGTAAAAAGGGGGGTTTCGTGGCGCAAAGGCATGACGGAGTTCGCAACATGCTCACCACGTCCCTTGGTAAAGTATGTAAGAACGTGGAAATAGAGCCACATCTCCAACCCCTTGACAACGAAAGATTCAATCTGAGATCGGCCATCATAAGTCCTGAGGCGAGATTGGACATGAAGGCGGACGGTTTTTGGTTACGTGGAGCTACTGCATTTTTTTACGTAAGAGTGACGCACGTAAACTCAAAATGTAACCAGGGCCGGCCAACTCAGATGATTTTCAAGGAACATGAGAACGAAAAGAACAGGAAATACCAACAGACAGTGTTAGATGTTGAAATGGCCACTTTTACACCCCTTGTTTTCGGGACTAATTGTGGAATGAGGATTGAATGCCAAATGTTTCTTAAACAGCTGGCGCAAAAACTGCCGGCAGAAAAAGATAATGAACGATATGCAGTTGTGCTTGAGAACCAGAATTTCTTTCGAAATTTTAAGATCAGTATATGTGAGTGTCAGGGAGTCTAGATCACCTTTCACTATAGAAAATAATTTGAAGTTGTGGACGATTTTGGACTAAACGCCAAGGCCGCTGGAGTTTTTTTAATTTTTAAATTTTAGATGAGGTATATAGACGTATCAGTTCATCCCATTTTAAACGTTGTATTTTAGAATTAAGTATTTTGAATAGTGTTTTTGCAACGTATATTTACGAGCATCCGCAGTACAAGAGAAACGAACACGTTTGCTTTTGAGATTCGAACCCAAGTTGACGTTCTATAAAATATTTCCTATTTTATTTGTATTATTGGTGAATAAATGACTAGCTCTTTGCGGGTGAATAAATGACTAGAATAAATGACTAGCTCATTACGTGTAAAAATGCTGACATCAGCAGAAATTGGTCAACAAAATGGCGATACTCGTACCCGTAAACCGGGGTATCTTAACCTCTCTAATATAGACATTCTATAGCTAACAGTCTATAGGAACCAACCAAAATACTGCATTATATACAGAGGGCATAAAATTATAATTAAATATAGTATTGCAATAGTATTCATGAGCATGCATGCTGTCACATCATACGCCATTGCGAATCATATCAGCAGGAAAGGCCCTTGAAGGCTTGACGAACACATACACATATTGATCAATTTGTCTAAACTTTATATTCTCACTTACCATTTGTGCCCGACTGTTCGAATCACCGTCTTATTAAAATCACATCTGCCCGTATAGACCCTCTCTCGTGGTATGAATTGCCACAACCATTTCACAAGTCCCTTGCTGTACACAAAAATATCATCATCCGTCTTCAGAAAATATTTAAATTTGCAATGTTGTTGAGACCATTCTAGACCAAGTATGGTTTTTAATGTTAAATTACCATAACTATCAACGAATGAACCAATTACTAGATCATTGTAATATTTCGATTCAGTTGCTATCAAACTCTGTGTTTTTTCATTAGTTTGTCCAAGTAAAAACACTGTTTTAACCAGATTATCATGCGTAGTGTAAGCTCCATTAATGACAATATTTGTTATATCAGGATCAGTGTCTTTAATTTCAGCCCAAGTACTACGTATTATAGACCTCTGTTCAAAGTTCGTCGGCGCAGAAACGACGACAATGAGAACAAGCACTGATGATTTGCAACGCGGTACAATATTTGATTTTAGACGGTGGGCTTCACGCGTTGTCCCGCTTATCTGAGACTTATTGCATGAATGCTCCAAAACGGCCACGCTTTCCTGGTGTGAATTTGTTGATATATAACTGTAATAGCATAACCAAGTGTAATGCATTCCAAACAGCAGGAATACGCTTTTGAGGATAAGGCCAGTCCGGAATCGCCTCGAGCGAATAATATACATGTATATCATTTTAGTATATCAACTGACGCCCATACGATGTTGTGCAGCAGAACCGGTACCTGCGTTGTAACAGCTGTACACTCGTTGGAGCTCAGATAAAGACAATTTCGATCATCAGTCTCAGATAAAGACTACTTCAATGTGGTGTAAAACCAAACTCGGGTGCTTATTAACTCACCAAATGAAAGATGGACGTTGAGTTTATAACTCATAATAATATAAGCATTGTTAAAAATACTACATAATTATTAGCCTAAAGCTCATTATCAAATGCAACTAGAGGTTAAAAATACTTTACATAACTCAGCATGAAGGCAAGAAACATGCTGTGCTTGCTTTGTCTAATTACTTCTTTGTTAGAAATTCCACAGCTTTTCGTGCTCCCCATCATAGTCAATATTGGATGGCCTGGAAACTAAACAGAAGTGTTTGTTATATTTTTGTCTGAGTATATGTTAATTTGTGCACGGTCACGGTGATTGAGCTCGTTGTATTTTCGTAGCTATAATTAAGTAACCGTCCAATAGGGATAGCTGAGATGAAACGTGCAGCCACGATGAATAATATTTAATGAAGTTGAGACAAAGCCTTTGTGCACGGTGAAGTACAGTTCAACATCAAACAAACGTCTTCTATTTTGAGGCTTTGAAGTTTGCCGGGATTCCTGACCATCATATATTAAAAGACTATGTTCTCAACTATTTTTAGTTAACTACAACAAACGTATTCAGTTAAACTTGATAGTCTTTTTATTGAAGTCAAAAGAACAAATTTTTCTCGTCAAATATTTATATCAACTGAAAAAGATTGTCCTTAAGGACGATTCCAATCCGTCCTGTTATCGTGAGGGACAATACCATTAATTTACTTAAGACACCATGCAGTTACACTATACAGAATTGCATCGGAAGCATACTTCGAAACCCGTACTGGACTCGAAGAAAATCCGGACTCTAGAAAAACCTGGACTCTAAAAAAATCCGGACTCGTCTTCAAGAAAACCCAGACTTGACTTATAAAAACCCGGACTCGAAATAGAAAAAACCGCATTTAAAACAAGGACTCCGTGTACGAGAATGGAAAGGTCTTTTGCAAAGGCTTACCCTGGAGCCAGAGGGTATTGTTTTCGCCTGCAGTATTGAATAACCCTCTGGTGAAATTGGCGGGGTTTTTCGGGTTCATTCCACACATAACTTTCAAAATTGGAAGGAAAGAGTTGATTGGTTGCTGACTATAGGTTGGATAGACTACGTGTTCTGATTGGATATTGTAAACATCACAGCCTGTTCGCAGGCGTTTCGTGTTTTGATTGAATTGAAACATTTGAATTTTGAAATGTCTATATTTAATAAACGAACAAAAGTTGAAAGAAGCAGTTTTATAGGCTGCATTAATAGATAGATTGATAAATTTCCTGAATTAAAAGTTTAACGGAGCATCAATACAGCGCCTTGTCCAATTTGATTCACCTTAAAGATGTATTTGCATCTTGCTATCTGTTATGGGAAGAGTTTAATATTCCAAAGTTCTAGGACCGAGAGTTGCACGACGACTTGGCAAAGCCACAATTTTCCGGAGAAACCCATCTTAATAGTCATTTGCAAATTGAACTCTTTCATTAACTCTCGCGTCCGTGAACTAAGAAGGCGTGGACTCCGTGTTACTTCATTGTCAAACGAAGAGGACTAGAAAGCAATACTAGATGGAGAGTTTACATTCGTATTTTGTAATCCCGAGTCTATTATTCGAAATGCAAAATGGAGAGAAATGGTTTCATTTGAAATCTACAAGACAAATTTGCTTGCTTTTGTAACAGACGAAGTTCACGTCGTCCCAAAGTGGTGTGTTTAATAAATTTAAATACAGATTTTTTTGAATGTATATTGCAGGGTTAAATTGAATGTATATTGCAAGATTAAAGTGAATGAATATAAATATATATTTATATTAAATGAATAGATGTCAAGATGTGATGTTTTAAGTTGAAGTCTATTACTTTGCGTTGTTCAAAGCCAGTTTATCCTTAACCCTCGGTTAAAACAAGGGTTAAATTTAACCCTCCTCGCTAGGTGGGTTAACTTGCTAATCGACCGGTTAACTCGTATTCAAAATGGACGTCGAAGGAGTGAAAAAAAAGAAAACATGTAAAACTCTTGGTGAAACAAACAATGTACAAAGATTTTATGGAGGAAAATCAGCCTCAAAAAGTAAATTCTAAGTCTATAAATGCTATTAAGATTCTTATTCGTCCCGTATGAGCCTTTGAAATGATCATCCTAAAAGTTGGCTTTGAAAAATAACTCAAAAAAGTTGGAAAAAAACATCAAAAAAGTTGGCTTTGAAAAAATACTTGTATTGCCAAACATTCCGCCGTACCACCACCTGTTTCACAAAGTTTCCATTTGCCATTTGTTGAACAGTCACAAGTTCTTGCACATCTACTGTTTGCAGCGCAGTGTATTACCTACTAGTAAAAACACTGTTTTTGAAAGCTTTAAAACAACTGCGCTGCTTCTTTTAGGCCGTGGGCTGTTGGCCAAAATTATTTCGCTTCGTGGCACCCATGTGGGAAATACTTGGTTTGGGGTTTATTTGAAAGGCATATAGGTACATCACTACCAAAAAAGTTCCCAAGAGCAAAAAATGGGAAATTTTATAATTCAATTACAATAAAAATGACTTGCATCATCGGAAAACGTACAAAAAACCGCATATAAGACTTGTAAACAGTTTTTTGATTTTTCAAATAGTCTTTGAGTTATTGCTGTTTTAAATGTGAAAACTGGACCAAAACGTCGCAATAAGGACTCAAAAACGCGTTTTTGACAGCGTATAACTCGAAAACAATTTTAGATATAAAAAAACTGTTTAAATGTCTTATATGTAGGTTTTTGTAAGCTTTCTGATGATGCAAGTCATTTTTGTTGTAATTGAATACAAAATTTCACATTTTCTTGCTGTAATACAATTTAATAGAGGATAATCACTGATCACCCATTTTCTTGGTGTTGGGCAAGCTTTTTGCTTGGGAACTTTTTGTGGTAATTGAGCATCTATGGTTCTATGAATTGAACCACAGAAAATCTATTTCCCAGGGGGGTGCCACGAAATTGCTTTTCTAGGCACTTTTTCGCACAACAGCCCACGGCCTATTTTTCTGTTTTCGTGTTCTGTTTTATAGGATAAACGCGCATACGTTGAAAAATGCTTTTCAACTCCAAAATAATTCGAATTAAAAAAAGTCCATTTGATTGGCTGGGATTCTAAAATTCCAAAATTGATTTAAATTTGTATTTTTTCTTGAAACTTTCAAAATGCTTAAATTCACGTCTGAAATGTTCAATTTCAGTTCCCCAGTTAAACAATATTTTTCACATCTATCCCATTCTATCCCCAGTTTTGACACGGGGCCAGCCAATCAAAAACGTTCTTACATTACATTTATTTTTAAAACAAATTTAACGTTGGGTTAAATGTCTTAACCCTGGGTTAACTAACCGCACCTCTAACCCAGCCTTGAACAACGCAGTTTTAACTCAGGGTTAACTAACCCTGGGTTAGGGATTTTAACCCAGGGTTAGCGCTAATCCTGGGTTAAAGTTAACGAGCTTTTGAACAACCGGCCTCAGAGGTTTTTCCTTTTTCTTCGCGCGTTTTCCCGCATTTCGCGTTCGCCAAACCTAAAAAAGCCTCTGGGACAGGGTAGCAAAGGCTTAACAATGGTTATTAATATGATAAACGATGGTATCTTTATATCTTCACCTCTATATTTTCTTCTAGTGTTAAAAGAATAATCACTTATATAGATATACTGGAACCAAACCATTTTGGGCACTTGATTAATTAAAAACTAAAAGGTATTTATGCATACTCTGCGATTAGCTACGTAGGTAGCATGTTGGTTTTCAATATAAGTTGATTTATTGTCAAACTTCATTATCAGTATTGAGCCGCGGTTGTTTGTAATTCATTTCGGGCAATTGGTGAATGCATTGCCTAAGGAGAGAGCCGCAATATCAAATGTATGCCAATCCACACAACGCGATTCACTGTCCGCATTATTAGGCCGCGGGTGCTGGGATACCTTTTTCTGCTTCAACTTAAGATTGCTTTTATTTTGATGTGTTTATTAGGTATAATTGTGGGTGTTCAATTCGTATTTATGGAAACGTGTTTCCAGACATTAGGGAGCATGTTATAATATCAAATTTATGTCAATCCGCACAAAGCTCGAATACTATATGGTTCCTATGCATGAGGATACTATGGTCCTCACAAAATGCTCACTTTGACTTAGGTATACTGGAACCAAATTATTTAGGCACTTAAAAATCAAAATACATTTATGCATACTTCTACGAACTAAAATCTGTCTCAGTATAGTCAGGAATGTCTTGTCTGTCAGGATTGCTGCCACCATAGCAGACAACGTGATGGCGGCAAGGGTAAAATATACCCCAGGGGCGTAGGAAGCTTCTAAAAGTTGGGGGGCCAGGCTTTGAGGGGCGCTTTTCGAAAAAAAAGGGCATCTAAAAATTTTTTCCCGTAAATGTGGGCGACGGGGGGGGGAGGTCTTATCAAAAAAAATTTTCGGACATACCCAAAAAAATTTTCCGGATATACCACAATTTTTCCTAAATAGGAAAAAAATTTTCCGGGAATACCAAAAAATTTTGCGGATATATAATCTTTTTCTCGCAAATGAACAAATTTTTCCGCAAATAACATAGATTCAAGATTTCAAAAGTGCCCTTTGGGCAAAAAATGCAATCTTAATGAAAATTTTTCACGCAAAAAAAGGGCACTTTGCTCCTGGAAAAAGGGCACTTGGCAAAACTTGGGGGCCTGCCCCCACCCTTCTCCCCCCGTTCCTACGCCCCTGATATACCCCCAACACATTCGACCTCACACAGACAGCAATTATCCGTAATTAAAGATTGAACAAGGACTGATGCCCTGGTACAGTGGACAGCACACGTTTCGACTGGTATTTCTGTTTTTTTTGGGTTCTGGTCCGGGTTTCGAAGTATGCCGATAATTTAATATCGGGGCAAAACGATGTTCATTTTCTGATTTAAAGCGGTCGGTTCAAATTCAATTTTACCCCTTTTAAGATTTAATTCTTCCAATTTTCGACCATTTGCCAAAATGCTAAATTTTGTTGCTCATTTGGGAAACGTATCCCATTACGAGTTCAGTCTGGGGCTGTCAACCCCCACCGAACGTTAAACCTTCACACCAATTAAAATTGGTGGAAATAAATGTTTAAACTGGACTGTGCCTGTGGAAAGCCGTTGAGCTAAGCGTGCAAAAAAAATTCAAAACACACGTTGTTGTCGTTTGGACGTCAGACTTCGAATGATAGATGTCGCATCTAATCCCATTGCGCCATCCTGCCGGTCATGTGACGTGCTGACGTCAGGATACCTGGTTACCAAATTACTAACCTTAGTTATTGCATAACCTACATTAAAATTGATACAATGCGCTGATATTGCACAAATGTGGCCGATGTCCACGAGCAATCTTCAACATGCGCCCACAATTTATTTGCCAATAATAATTTAAGCTACGATACTTTGTCAAATTATTTACCAACAATTAATATAAAAGACGCTTTCAAATACTTACGAATAATATTAAAAATTACATTTCAAATTCACTGTACAGGAACAATACAAACTACGCCTTTTTAACATAATCTACAGGACCACATTTCCCTAATTTTGAAAACTTCAAATATAATTGCAGCATTTGTTTTGGATTTGCTTCTAGACTTAACAACATGTCTTTATGTTGGCAAACATCCCAGGAGTAATCAGAATGTACCTGTAAATATTTACGTCTATCTACTGGCACTATCTTTAATTTTTCTAGAATCAGACCAATATAGACGTCTTCCAGTTTAAACAATGGTTGCTTGGGTACAATCACCATCATATTATGAAGGACATCTGAACTAAGGATATAACCCATTCCAACACAATATGGTGGAAAAGTGTTTCTTTGGTAATCCTTTTTCGGTACACCCCTGTAATTAATGAAATAAAATCATGAACATTAGATAAATGAAATCATAATAACAACTTGTTCTAGCCTTTCTCGTTTTTCTACAACAACAAATCGATGTTTTTTGGCACTGTTTCATGCACTGACGGTCGAAATTTTATCTATAATAGGGAGTTTACGAATGTGAGACGGCGACGTCAGGACGACGGCTATCAATATAATGACATTAATCCTATAGTACAAAAGAAATGAATGATTAAAAGGGGTTTTATACGTTGTCCAAGCTCTGTTGACAACGGCAAAATGCATACTTTCACGTCTGGTATAGTACGCTAGCATTTCACGCCGTGACAGGTAGTTTTTCTAGCAGAGTTGATCAACATTGCTCGGAGGGTTAAAGCTCTGTTTTACTCGTTCGAAACTATTTTAAATTCATACAAAAGTAAATACAAGACAAGATTTTCATACAACATTTATTTCAAACAGTTTGTTTAGCCGTCGTCCTGAAGTCGCCGTCTTACATTCGTAAACTCCCTAATAAATTATGTAGGAGGACTGCATGTTGATTTTGCAGTATATATAATATACTGACCATCCAAACACCTACAAGCTCAGTTGTCTTCCTTTCGAACGCAATATTTTCAAAATACCCATGGTTATTAAGGTTCAGACACACCGGACGCGATTCGACAACGCGACGCGATTTTTCGATTTTCACTAACCGATAACTTTGATCCTAGTTTAAATTTTCCAAATATTTAGAAGGGCTATAACATTTTGAGTTATTTGGTCTGCATATCTTTTAAAATTTGCTCTCATTGGCTGTTTTGTTAACTTTCAAAAACTAAAAAGTCGTAACAGGGTTAAACATCTTTTCGATCTTAAGAGTTTGGAAAACGTCTTCTCGTCTCTAGTATTTTTCAAATTTATTGTACTATTGTAACATATGGTCCAGACGACTAAGAAGAACATAGAAAAACCTCAAAAAGTGCCGCATAACTTCGCGGCAAGAATAATCACAGGAACACAAAAATATGAGCATTTAAAATACTTTGTTGGCGTTCTAACGTTTAAATGTTTGAATGGACAAGCCCCTGACTATCTCAATTCATATTTTCAGGAGAGATCATCTTTGCACGATAGAAACGCCAGAAATAAACAAAACTAAACATTCCAGCTTGTATATCGGCGGTCGGACAACGAACATTTGAATACTGAGCAGTATCCCTGTGGAACTCTCTACCTATAGTAATATTACTGAGCATGATAATTGTAAAGACTTTGAAAGAAATTTTTATAACTATTTGCTTGAGCATTTTCTCTTAAAATCTTAATGAATTTATCTTACTATCGATTTTAGACTGTAAATACCGGGTGGCGCAATAAAAAGTATAACTGTTTGATTACATATAGCTCAAAGACCATAAGCAGTATAGAACCCAAAATCGAGTTTCATTGCATCCAGCGATGTCTAACTTAAATTTTGGTATACTCGACAGGCATTTTCGTCCAAGATTGACTGAGATATGAGTGTTTAAACTTTTGTTAGCAAATTTGAAACGGTCACAAATTAGCTAAAAACGGCCTATT